TCTAACCATGTTAAAGCCTCTTTCTGCTTGATGAACGGCAAGTCCTACTATGGCCGTATTCATCAACGACCCCAGTGTCTTGATGAATATCGATTTTACTCCAGGGTAGAATCGATATTCATCAAAAGCACTGACCCAGTGGGTTCCGGAACCCACTGGGTTCGTTGATGAATACGGCCACTGGATCGCTGTACATCTGTAAGGAGCAAACAATAAGTTCTACATTAAGGCCTCACCGGCGGAGCTACAATATTTGTGATATTTGTGTTGACTAACCCCACTATGCGACAGCTACGAAATTACTTCTACAGTACGCCTACTGTTTCACAAAATGACAGTGCTCACTTGTCACAAACCTTTTTGGGGCAATTAATGTGTAACGGGTTTTGATTTGAAATAGGTATAGATAGAAGTGTTCCTACCCCTTGATAGCTCATTGATTTAGATCTTGGCTGGGCCTGGGGAACGACGATGAGGCTTGGACGAAGACGTCTGACAAGTTGTCGGAGGCGAGGATGAAGCTTAATGGATTAGCACGAGCGGCTATAGGAAGAGCTTTGTGGGTTTCCTTCAAAGATAGTGATAGTCTTCATGAAACTATTGAATTTGAAGTTCAGAGGAGATGTGCGCGCCTACCATTTTGATGATGATAAGGAGATGCTGTCGCCACCCTGGGTAATATTCATATATGATTTTTCAGATTAGTGTTAGGCTGTTATTTTCTTCCAGAAAAAGCGTTTTTGCCCTAATACCACGCAAGATTCTTTGGCGCACGAGCAGGCTAATGAGTCGGAGCAGGAGCAAGACGAAGAGATCGAAAATATGAAATTGGTTTGAACTATGGATTCAATCTCACACATTGATCTCGACATTCCTGTTTTTTTCTGTTAACTTAGTTATAGTGATTTCAATGTTCTTTTTCTGTCACGAATGTTAATAAAGAGTGTTTCTGAACTCTGTGTCGAGCACAGCACCTTTGTAAGATGTGTGTAATACAAATTTTTGAAGTATAACCAATTTTAGAAAAAGCCCAGCCGGAAGCTGATCGGATCGCTGCTATATCGCGTCTCCCGCAGGTCTAGAGCGGGAGTCCCGCCCTGACCGAATCGCGACATTATAGGGACTCCCGCAGGAGCTCCCGGTTTTCTCGGTAGAAAACATGTCGGGACAAAACCGCGTGTCGCGCCGCATTAGCCCGAACGAAAACCGGGAGTCCCGGTTTTCTCGCGAACCATTTTACTTGTGTCCCGCAGTCATTCCGGCGGGACACAACTTTTTCACCGGCGGGACTTAACTGCAAATGTCTGGGCACGCCCACGGCCTGTTTCTCTGCTCTCTCTGCAATCGTTTTGCTCTCTCCGACAGCGCGCATATGCAGCGCAGACCGCTAGCGCTGCAAGCGCGCAAATTCACGTCGAAAGTTTGGCCTGGTCCCAATTAGAGCAGACTGTAGAGTTGAAGCACTTAAGGTAAAAACGCGCCAGTTGGAATTTTGTAGCACTTCCTACTCCATTACTTGGGAGCGATATGAAGCCTGATTTCTAGCGTAAACTTGTAGAAAACATTACTTTGTTATGACTATAAAAAACTGACTTTTTCACTTTTGAAAACAAGTTAATCGTGTTCGCGAATCACGTTTTCCCGACGTCTAGAACCACTGGAAAATGCTGTAGGTAATGGTTTATAGAGTTCATGGTGGTTCATGCTAATTACAAAAATGACACCTATTTGACACAGCATGCTTTCTCGGTGAAAATCAAGAAAATGCGATTTCCGGCAGAGGCGTGCGTGTCACGCGCGGTCGCGCCATCGTCACGTTTTTTCAAATGCCCTACATGCTGTTTACGAGCGTCATTCCTTCAGTACTGATGAGGTCGCAATATCCACGGGACTAGCCTTTTTTTCTCAACCTTAACGTTGTATTTTCCCAACTAAAGGAATTTATGTTCAATTACGACCCCCTTAGTCTTACTTCCAATACGAACCCCAGGTCGGGCACGCCTGACCCGATGGAAGCTCTAATAACTCTTGCACGATTTAGGTGGCGGGTTGTTGATTTTAACAGTACGATTAGTGAAGAGACAGGTCAAGTTGAGGCTATACCAAATGTTTTCTTTAGCTTACGCGTGCTAAGTCCAGCGTTCTTTGTTCTTTCCTTGATATCTGATCACCAGTCACTATTATCCACTAGTTTAATGCACATTGAACATAATTGGTAAGTTGAGCAATGAGAGAGGTACGAACTTTGAGAAGCGGAGGTGTTGGAACCCTTCTGAGTGAGATGCTGGTGCTAATTAGGTGGCAAATGTGCAAGGAACTCCTGCACGTCCTCCCAATGCATTGTCGAGAACCCTGGAGGGTCACGCAAGGTCAGCCACGTTAGGCGGAGGGCGTGCAGGAGTTCTTAGCACCTTTCCTCGCACCAAGTTCGCACCATCAATCGCACCCAGGAGGGTTCTAGCACCTCCGCATCTCAGAGGTCAGGAACCGCCCATTGCTCCACCCATTAACTGCCCTCATTGTGAGGTAAGCAAGTAGAGAAAACAGAGAATTAGAAATTGAAGTATTGAAAACGAAAAAATTGGAAAAAAGAAGTTGTCATTTCATAGTTGAACTATATGGAAATAACTATGAACATGTGATTTTCACTGATTACAAACTTCAGTAATAAGTACGCTTTATTCAAGTTAGTATAAAACTTTAGTATAAATGCAGCGCCCAGTTTTTTTTTTCAAATGGGCGGTTACCAGTTCAGATATAAAAAGCTATCGCGTAATAAATCTTGCCACTCTCTGGATAGTTCGATTTGAAAATTTGATTGTTTGGACTGAAATAACAGCTCAAAAATATTAGGTCGCTCCGAAAGTTCGCGCAATTTTTCAAACCCATGCTCAAAACACTTAGAAGATAGAGAAACGTTGTAAGCACCATCCGATGCAAAATTTCTTCTTCTTTACAACGGCCATGTTTTTTTTGTGACTATCTCGATAAGCAGTGAGATAATCGCCGAAAACTAGAGCCCATCATTTTTGCCATGTTTAACTTAGAATTTTGGTTTTGAGTTTTTGAGGGCGCTCTAGTAACCACCTTCTAGGGCAAACCTTTTGCAAATTAATGCAACTTTTTGCATTATCTCAACCCCCTCTTTAGAATTTTGCTGAATTATCCCACAAGAGCACTGAATTTTGAAAAAAATTGCAAGGCACATAATTGCACCAAACACTGCGAAATCCCCAAACTATTGAAGTTCTGGAACTCGATTATTAATATTACTAGTATTACGAAGTAAATGAGCGATTATGGCGTGAAAATTGATTAACTTTGGAATTTCCACTACACCCTTGCTCACCCGTAAGATTGGAAACTACAGCGATTTTGTCTGCAAAAGTCACATGTCTCGCAAAGAAAAGGTAGCAGAAAGAGGAGGAAAAGATGCATTGAATGGTACCTAAACTGTTCAGCGTCTGGTTCTGCAAGGTTGATGAGCCAAATATAAAATTTGATCACTACAGAAAATAAATTCTACTAATTCTAGAAAGCATGCCCGAGAGATGCAAGCGTGAACTATAGGAGCGACCTAACATAAATGAAAATTAATCACTTGTGCATTTTTTTGAAGAAAATCGGTCATACTACTAGAAGATTTCAAAATTTACATTCAGGGTGGCCAATTTAGATGCTGGCTTAGGGCATTCAGCGTTCGACTTCCCAAATGACTGCACTTATCGAAGGCTAGAAACCTACTTTTCGTAGATTCGACGATAGAAAAAAATTGTTTTGTAACGAGTTTTCGGTTCCCTTCACTCTAATATGCTGTCCATATGCTTGGATGTTTGTACTTGGACGCTTGTTAGATACGTTCTCTTGTTCGGAGATCCGAGCGCTTGACACAAGGTAATCATCTATAGCATAGCATAACAATAGATTTCTAGGGGCGCAGGTAAAGGTGGCGAAGAAAGTGTTGCTTTACTTTTCTTTAAGACAGAACTAACACTGGTAACCAAGATTGTGTGATTTTATCTGCACTTATTCGCTGTTTCTAATGCTTGGGAGGAAATTGAATTTGATTGACGAAATTTCTCGAAACAGCTTAAGTGGTTCTCATTTTTTATAAATACAAAGATTTCACTGCGCTTGCACAATCTAGAATGAGCGCACTTAGAAGGCGGAGCCGTTCCTCGACCTGTGAAGCTGTGATGTCCCTTCCAGGATTCTCTGAAGGTGCTAAAAGGAAAGTCGGCGAGGCTTTGGGAACTCCTGCCACGCCGCCACGTTAGGCGATGTGAGTCACATGGGTCAGGCATTAAACTGGTGATTAATGGCTTTTATGTTATTAAAATTTTACTATTATAGGATATATTAGCTTCAAAAGTTCTTTTATGCATTGAATCTATAAAACTTCCGCTGCCCCTTAGAATTATTTTGGGTGTAAGTAGATGATACACGGCGTGAATTTAGCCGATTCCAATATAAGCGCGAAAGATTGTCCGACAAGGCAGACAACTAAAATGCGAGCTGCCGTCAACGTGTTAAAGCTTTGGAAGAGTGTTTTTTGGAGATCGATTTTTGATAAAGTCATAAAATAGGCAACTACAGCAAAAACATGCTATCAAATCGAGCTTTTACTGAGCTTTTTGATCTGTAGGCTAAATGTGCTTCTATAGCCGGGTTTTTTCCAAAATTGAATAGTCATAAACTTTAGAAAGTGTAGCCAGAGGGTTTATCCTACAAAACAAAACGGCTATCAGCGCTTTTTAATCTGTTAAATAGATATTGTTCAAAAAGTCGACAGACATAGGTTACTGTTAAACGGCATAACATTGTGACATTGTAAGGACTGCATAAATCAGGAAAAGAATATAATTTCAGAAAGAGGATGAAAATCCAAGCTGAACGATACCCGAGCGTTCGTTGATCAGCGTTCTTCAAGTTCCAGTGATGACCGCAAAAAAGCGAACAAAACTTTCGGGGCAAGCTAATCGAGATATAATCAATTTAACTCACATGCACTCAGTGACATTGCCGGAATATGTGTTTTGTAGCCTATTGTTATTTCGAAGGTCAACTTCCACCAGAAATCCTGGAATTTTTATTGAACAACATCACAAATGTAGTAAATAGTTATTGGGCTCACTAGCAATCAATTCGTAGTCTACTATGTAGCAAGGTCCCGGTTGTACTCGTACGTAAAGTTTGTTCCATTTTTCAGGATTATAGCTCTAAAATTGTGGAGTACAGGTTTGTTAGCAGCTAACACATTTACCTGAATAAGAAGAGCTGTCACAAAGTTACAGATAATTTTTCCCTTTCTACTATCTGCGTTTTCAACCTGACGATAGACGTCACCAAGGTTTACTGCCTTATCTGCTCCTGCTCCCAACCAGCTGTTGTTGTTGCGGCCAGGCTATAAGCGTGTTTGTTTCTACTCATGTTCTAGGTACATTTATCTGCTAAAAACAACAATATGATTTGTTTTTGAGGGACAATTGAGTACACCATTGTAAGATTGTACAAACCGCACCGTGATTGCGTTGACAGCAAACGCCAAAGAAGGTCCGTGCGGGACCCTAATCATGGGGTGCGTTAGCGGTTGAGGCTGGGTTCATACTGATTCCGAAGTTCCGGAACAGTTCCAGCACAGTTTTCCACTGTGCTCGAACTGTGCTGCGTGCGCTGCAGCCGCCCTCATGCGGTTTTTGAGCGGCGCGAAATAACAATTTCTCAACTTTCTTCAGCAGTTTTTATAGTAACGGTCGTTTTCACCTCATTCTTGTACTCGCTTGCTCTTGTAATTAAAAAAGTTTCAAACTTAGAGAGGGGTACAAGAATGAGCGCTATTTCGTTTTGTGCATCTGCTGAAATCTGCCACAAATTGAATGCGTGCATTTTTCTTCTCGGAGTTTTTTTTTATTAAGTGCGGAAAGTAATCAAAAACGAAAGGGCAAGCAGTAGAAGTATGCGAAGAAATGAGGCTGAAACGCCAAAAAACCTAATATCATGAAAACACAAAGAAAATTTCGCTAATCAATCGTGATGCTTGCCTCTGTCCTCTTTGAAGACAACTGAAGATATTGGGGATGCAGCGACCTCTGGAATATACAAAGGGAGCGTTTAACAGAAAAATCACGAAGGAGAACAGACGCGCAAAGGAAAATGGGTAAGTCACACAAGACATGACGTGAAAAATTATCGTTCTCGAATTCCGCTTCAAGTTCGTAATCCTCTAAATCACCACAAGAAGCAAGACGTGAGGATGAAACAAAAATGAGTAAAGTTTACAACTAAAACAGTTGGAGGAAGTCAAAATTTTTTATCTGGTGCAAAAACTTCAAAACCGCATGCGGATGGCTGCAGCGCATGCAGCAGTTCCGAAACAGTTCCAACACAGTCTGAGAACTGTGCTGGAATTGTTTCGGAACTTTGGGATCAGTATAAACCCAGCCTGAAATGTAAATCAGAGTGAGCTTCGCGAGACACATGAGCAGCGACGCTTCCCGGTCTGCCCGTGTTCAGTGCAATTGAGGGTAGGCTCGTACCTGAGAATAAGGTGGTATGTAGATCTCCACAATTGCTTTGATAACGCTTAGGACTTTTTGTGCATCATTGTAATCGCGGAGTGCATTACTGTGATCCACAACGGGGTTGTGATTCCGGGGAAAGTTCCGCTGCATGTCCGCCAGGCGCGATCTCCTTTCGCTGAACGAAGAGTAAGGATACTCTACGAAGTCCCCTCTGACCAAGCGTACGGCCGTGGATTCGTAGTTTTCTTCCATGCACTGAAGCAATGCTATGGATTGTCAGGAGACTATCGAAATTTGATAACAGAAGATTGAGAAAGCATATTTGATACTTACTTTGAGTATTTGCTTAACAGTTCTATCCATAGTAGTAGACATAGGGGGAGGCATGGGCACATAGGGACGGGCATGATTGGGATACATAACTTATCACTTATCCTGACAGTAGAATAAATGTATCAAAGTGTTGAAATGGGCCCCCTTATCCGTGATTGCTCTATTTTATACCACAGTTTTGCAGCGTTATCGCTATGAAGCAACGCCTTGAGAAAAGCGTAGATAGCGGTAGCTGTAAAATCATTGAAACGTTATTGGTGCTAATCTCCGTTTTGGTGCTGACTTTTGTGCTCGGGTTTAGCACCCAAACGGAGATTAGCGCAAAAAAATGCTTGCTCGTCAGTGGTCCCTCCAACAACATGGTTTGGTCTCTACTCGTAAGCGAAAATGCCAAACGATTCAATCTGAAAAAGGTCCTACGCAATTCACGTCGAAAAAGGGGCTTTTGTAGCTTTTGTTATATATGTACGAGGTATCACGGGAGGAAAATAAAGGAAAATAGGGCCAAAGTATTCGAACTGCAGACTACAATGTTGAGTTATTTTCCTTACCTTCTTTGGTCATTATAATAGATTTGTAAAACCCTTAATCAAAAAATTCTAATTAGTTTCTATCTTAAATGCGTAGAAATGCTCCAATAACGTTCATATTATAATACGGCAGATCTTTATCTATCGCAAACCACGGTAACTTATAATTTAAATCTTAGTTTTTTCTTTCTTCTTTCTTTCTCCTGATTTGCATAACACACAAGTAGATCATCTACTCCAGTAAAGGTCTCTCGTCGTTTCTTTCTTCTTCAACACTCTAATTGTTCTGCATGATTATTATGTAATAAAATTGCTCAGTCTTATTTCCTTAAATGCTGAAGCTAGCAGGTTGCTAAGTTACTTCACTAATGATTTGCATTTAGAATCGAAAAAAATTCTATCTGTTGCTTTTAATCGAAAATGGAAAATGATCCATCTTCAACGCTTGTCCAAGCGAAATTTTCAAAAGAAAGGTCAGAAGTTGCAAAGACTAGCACTGCTTGACAGATTTAGTCAGTCCTTTTCTTCTTTTGCGAGTTTTGAGTTTCAAAGATGTAAATCATGTCTAACTTCTCAAAATGCGCCACGGATTTATTTGACAAAAAGTAGGTTTAGAAAACAGTGGGATACCTTGAACTGGCGGTTTCACACCTGCTTTTTCATTTTCTCGTGACTTCCAATTCGCTGAGTGCTGAGGTTTTTCTTAGTGCTTGCTTTTTGAACTAAACCGAATATATCTCTGTAAGACCAGGACTACTGAGATTTCAAAGTAATCCAGATATATGCTTAACAAAAGTTATTTGGGTAAAATCTCAAAGCATCTGGGTAGAACTTTGAGCGAGAAAGAAAAGTTTGTCTCACGAAACTGTTCTTCTACTAACGTCTCTAGCATTATTCTTTTTAACACAGAGTGCTTTGCACATAACCAGGGTCTGTCCCAAAAACGAAGTTTCACCATGCGGAGGTCGATGAAAATTCGTTATTTGAAGGTTTAATCGTCCTAATGTACAGGGCTTATAAAATTTTGGGAAGAATAATGGCTAGGAAAAGTGTTACCTTTGCCAAATAAAGCTTGTAAACTCTTCTAAGAAAAATTCCCAAAACTCTGTGTTCGTCTATGGCCCATAGTAAACCCCCATAAGGGCATCTTTCTTGAGGCGGACCGGAGTTGATCTCATCGCGCCTCAGCACATTGCCAGGGAAGCGATTGATTTCGAGCAGATCACTTACTGGATGATCACGTTTTCAACGGTGGAACGTTTCTGTCTTTTGTGCGATACTAGTCGAATGGATAAGACTAATGCGTTTCAAGCGGCATAGCCGTGGTTCGAGTGCGGCTAGCGGCACAACCTTTGCAACTTGGCCTGGCGACCTTTGATAGCGGCCGTTATCGAAAAATCGACGATAGCAGCTATCAGAGATCTCACCTAGCAAACAACAAGATAAAACAAATACACATTGTTTCGGCGTTTATACGAGGAAAATTACACTTGGTGAAAAATGGATAGAAAGGTAAATCTACATTTTTGTCATCTGAAGCGGTTCTTTTAGAAAAACAAGCAAAACAAGCAAAAACTGCAAGAAAAATGCACAAAAAACTTTTTTTTTTCGATTTCGTCGCGCAATCAGCTGTTCATCGATCCTCACTCACTTAGGCGCCCGAAATTGTGCAGTTTTGGGAGTTTTGCACCGCAAAAGAACGTCAGCTGCGATGTTTCGTAAGTTACTCGGGAGCAACTTACAGAGGTTTTCTCTGTGCTCTCCTCTTTAGCACAGTATTTACCTCACCTCGTGCCCGGCTCATCTCCGATGACTCGGTCGGGAGCTGATCTCCCTGCCGGGCTTCATCTGAAGCTCACCTGTAGGTTGACCTTGCATACTTATACCACGGAAAGGTGGGCAGTTCTCATCTCACCCGACAAACCCTCATATGAGGGTCTCGGGGGAGATCATCTCCCGTGACCGAGCTTTACTACGGGCCTATCTTTGTGATTACAGCGACAAGTTTATGCAATTTCTTGTAATTCTTCAATTTTCGAGGTTTTTGGCTTGTAATCTCTACGATTCAAAAACTGAGTTTGCAATTATCATGTCTGAACATTTAAATGGCTTTGTGCCTAAATGGCCGTGAATCTGAAAATTTTTAAGAATTTCAACAGATTTCAAGGTTTTGCAATCTTACGCTGGCTATAATTTAAGAAGCCAATGAAGTCTACTTATTTTGACTTTTGTGACCCATTGCCAAAGAGCTATTGTGCAATCAGTGCCTTTCTTGAATTTTGATAATTGAAGTTTTTTTTGAAAGCTCTACGATTTGTACCTTCTGCGTTTTAGCGGATTATATTAGGTCGTCGGCAAAAGTTTGTCAGTTTTTTCAATCCGAGACCCTATGATTTTTTAAATGAGATTGACAGACTTTAGAATCCATCAGCACTATCTAAGAAAACGCACTAACGGATTGGATCATATGGATAAACAAGGCACTCATGTATCTCTCAGTACATTTTTTCAGCATCATCACAATTTTCTGACTTCTCCAGATTCTGAAAGCGAGATACTTCGCATTCCCTCAACGTACTTACTTTGTAAATTCCAAAATGATCAATACACAGGAATTATCTGCCGTTTCGCTGAACGCGCGATTTTGTTGCAATATTTTTTTTTTATCACATCGTGGGGTTCTAATCAGTTCACGCTCCTTATCCGGTTCTCGCCTTATTGTCGTGTAGCATAGGGTGACATTTGGAGTAACCAAAGAAATAGCAAAGGGTTAATATCGCTCAAGCCCGTCTCACTGCAATGTGAAGTTTCTCTTGACCTCTGGAAAGAAATGCATAAATTTTGTGTGTTTTTGAAACTGTTAGGTTGGTGCAAAAGTTTTGTCAGTTTTTCCAATCCATCGTCAAATACGTTAGAACGAAAGTAAACTAACACTTCAAAAAGTATCCGATGCAGAATTTCTTCCCCTTTCTAGCGGCTAAACTCCCATTGTGTTTTGTTGAGAGTTATGAAATAGTCGCACATAGGTTACGTCAGTGCGCACTCCTAAAATTGAGAAATACCGCGATTTTTCCCACATATTTCGCCTGTCTCGGCAAAGAAAGACAAGTGTTAGAAAGAGGAGAAAAATTTGCATCGAATGGTGACTCAAGTGCTTGATATTTCACGTTCTACGAGGTTAAAATAGGCTGAATGTAAGATGTGGTTACTTTAAAAAATAAATCGTAGAAATTCTGAAAGCCAAGCTGTAGGGCTTCAAGAAATTGCTTCTGTTGGCAAAAGGTTTGTCCTATCTGCTGGTTATTAGGGCTCCTCCAGAAGTCTCATACAAAAATTTTGAAAATTAGTGGTTTGAAAATTAGTTGGACATGGTGAAAACGAGTGGTTGTAATTTCTAGTAAATACCTCGTCACTCTCGCAAAGAAACACAATGATAGTTTAGCAGCTGGAAAGAGGAAGGAATTCTGCATCGGATACTTTTTGGAGTATTAGTTTATTTTCGTTCTAACGTGTTTGACGATGGATTGGAAAAACTGACAAAACTTTTGCACCAACCTAACAGTTTCAAAAATACACAAAATTTATGCATTTCTTCCCAGAGGTCAAGAGAAACTTCACATTGCAGTGAGATGGGCTTGAGCAAGATTAACCCTTTGCTATTTCTTTCGTTACTGTAATATCAGATTTGATTAATTTTACAGATGTGTAATATTAGTTTTTTTTGAAGCAAGCCACATTATTATGCTCAAACAACTCTCCGTACTTTGCTCTTTCAAATGTCACCCTATGCTACATGGCAATAAGGCGAGAACCGGATAAGGAGCGTGAACTGATTAGAACCCCATGATGTGATAAAAAAAATATTGCAACAAAATCGCGCGTCCAGCGAAACGGCAGATAATTCTTGTGTATTGATCATTTTGGAATTTACAAAGTAAGTACGTTGAGGGAATGCGAAGTATCTCGCATTCAGAATCTGGCAGAAGTCAGAAAATTGTGATGATGCTGAAAAAATGTACTGAGAGATACATGAGTGCCTTGTTTATCCATATGATCCAATCCGTTAGTGCGTTTTCTTGGATAGTGCTGATGGGGACTTACATATTTATTAATCTAACACAAAACTGCTTCAGCAGTCTCAAGATTAGTACCCACTCTAAAAAATAGCACCTCGCCTTTGTTGTGTTTCACCTGCTCTTCGTTCGCGTCACTTCACGATTTACGTTAACGAGCTCCTTTCCCTTTGATATTGCTTATAAATTTTTTTGTCTCTTTGAGAACAACCTGGAAGAAGGAAAAGCGTTCTACCTTCTTTAGCAAAGTCGATACAAGTCACCAAACTGACTATCCTTACCAACTCCTCTTAGAGCTGAATTATGATCGTAACCAGTTGTACTTTCGTTATTTTGTGACGAACTAATTCACATCGAAATGTATTATCTTACTCTGCATTTACTTATCTTGAGAGCCAAAGCTTGTTGGGCTGGAGTGAATTGACATGAACCTGGTTGTGATCAAGAGATTTTGATTGCCGTTTTCGCTCAACTGCTCTACCGT